ATATTTTTGTATGTACGAATGGAAACGACCAAAATAGTTAATGTGATGAAATGACTTTTTTTAATACACAATTATCGAGGAGTTGTATCGTATGACTTTTTTACCAAATCGATCGTACACATGAACATGTGTTCATCCGGGACGATTGGTAATAATTTTCATACCAAATGATTGAGATCGTCCCCATGCCAACTGACCACAGGATCGTATAGACAAAATGCGATTTCGTATATATGATCTTTGAAAATAACTATCATTGGAAATTTTTGTTTCATTCGTACAAAAAAATTAACCAATCATACAGACAATGACATCATCATACAGTACAATATGCTTACAAAAGTTTTATTTTCATAGCTCAACTCAGGAAAAGTATTATGTACAATCTATTGAATTCGTACAATACAAAAGTGGTTCGGACAGTATGAATGAAAAAGTAACTTAAGATATGATAAACAAAACTCTTTTTCCAAAATCAAAATAGAGGAACAATCAAACATCAATAAAATATAAACAAAAAATTAACCAAAACATCAACATACATGAAATACACTATAAATCCAATTTGCAAAATTATAATTTTTTTAAGCATGAATATCAATCACACCCAATCTAATTCTTAAGCTGCTAAACATTTCAAAAATAAGTGATTTTATAAAAATGTCTACAATTTGATTTTTAATAGCTACATGATGTAGCTCAATTTATCATTTCGACTACACATGATCTCTAATAAAATGATGTCTTATATCTATATGTTTGGTTCTAAAATGTTGAATAGAATTATTTGAAATGCATATATCAATTGTATTATTATAGAAAATTTGAAGTGCTAATAGAAAATCCTAAATCAATAAGTTATTATTTTAACCAAAGAACATGTGCCACACAACTACCTAAGGTAATATATTCGGCTTCAACAATAGAAAGTACTACTGAATTCTGTTTTATGTTAGACCAGAAAACTAAAGAGTTTCCAATGAATTAACAAGTTCCAAAAGTACTTTTTTTATCAACCCTACATCCTGAAAAATCTGAATTAAAATATCTAATGATTTCAAAAGAAGAATAATGCCTAGGATACCATATCGCTAAGTTTTGAGTTCCTAAAATATATCTTAGAATTCTTTTCACAGTAATCAAATGTGATTCATTTGGATCAATTGGAAATCTAACACAAACAAATACTAAATATAATATATGGTCTGTTAGCAGTTAAGTAAAGTAATGATCCAATTATTCCTCAAAAATTTTTATCAACAAAATTTTCTTTAAAGTTATTATCTAACTACACTAAGGAACTCGTTGGTGTACTCATTTGTTTAGCTTTATCTATTTCATATTTCTTGATGATGTCCTTAATATACTTCGACTGGTTAAGAAATATTACATCCTCTTTTTACTTTATGCTATAACAAAGAAAATAACTTAAGTTTCCCATGAAACTCTTTTCAAATTTACTACTCATTATTTTTGAAAAATTATCGCAATAATTTTTATTAGTGGATCCAAACAAGATATAATCAACATATATTTGAACAATGAGTATGGCATACTAACAACATCTTTTCTCACCCAACTAGTGATGGCATAGTACCAATGTCCTTTCTCACCCTTTTTGTGATGACAGAGTATCATGTTCTTCTTTGAAAATCTTCTCTCAAGATCCTTCAAGGAAGTAGGGCAAAATTTTGAAGAACAAATAAGAGATCCTTACCTTTGGGTAATCTTGTTAATCCCATCATAATTTTCTCTTACAACATCTCTCATTATTCACTCTCAAAAACTCTCTCAAACACTCTCTTTATCTACTCTTAAGAGAAATTCACAACAAGATTTTTTAGTGTCAATTTTTAGGACCCTTATGTATGAAAGACAAGAAAAATTGTCTATAAACTGAATGTTTCAAAGTGAAAATGAGTTAGATCGTACCGTACGATCGTGGATCATTTGTATGGATAATTAAAAAATTATGGGATGATATGGTACAAGCACTATTTCATACACTGTTAGTCATTTGTATAATTTATAGATCATATGTACAATTAGTTAAAGTTCATCCAGATGATCTGGTACGAAGCTTATCTCGTACACTATCAATCATCTATATGATATTGATATCATTTGTACAAATAGTTAAAATTCATCAAGATGATCTTGTACGAAGCTAATCTCATACACTATTAGTCATCTGTACAATATTAAGATCGTCAATACGAACATTTAAAATTTATTTGGATGATTTGGTATGAAGCTAATCTTGTATACTGTTAGTCATCTGTACAATATTAAGATTATTTGTATGAATAGTTCAAATTCATCTGTACGATCTTATACGAAGCTAATCTCGTATCTGTACGAACTGACATCGTACAGTATGAAAAGGGTCAAAAAAATTGAATTCCAATTTAAACTCTCTCTCTCCTTATGTGTGTGTGTGTGTGCACAATTACTCAATTATAATCACACACTCTCAAACTCAAGAAAATAAAAAATATTGACTTTATTACATTAAATCTTATTATACTCTGTCTTGAAGTCATCAGTAGTCTGGAGTATGATTTCTCTAAAATGTTAATACATATAAAATAAATAGAAATATATTCAATATATGTTAGGAGAAAATAGTAATCATAATAATAATATTTAATTATCATCAAAAAATCATATTACGTAAAACTTAATTTTGAATTCTAAGTTATAACACATATCACTGTGGCACATATGTGTCATTGCAACAAGCAATATCTCTTGTGTGAACTCCACCAACATTTGAGGAAAATTAACTCCTTTAGATAAGATAATTGGAGCCTTAAAAATAAGGTGAAATATTCCCCACCTCAAATTCAATTCATCCAAATGGGGACAATGAGCCCCTTTTATGATGAAGATCAATGCTCTACTAAATGGACTATATAAAAATTTCGAGTGTCATTTATAGCTCTATGTATGCATGTTAGTACGTACAATTACTAATAAGTTATCATAATGTGATCTTGACTAAGTATATAGAGTGCATTTTTTGTATGGTATTATTTTCGAAAGTCATATATTTCAACTTCTAAACATGAGTGAGAAAATGATACATCACTAAAAAATAGGTATACTCAAGTAGGAATCCTCATATAATATTTGAATTTAAAACCTCCAAAATTAAATTTAGGATCATATATACTCTAATTTTTGAAAATTTATAATTGAGTTGAAGATTTCGATGGTCAAAGTCTAATTGCACTAAAAGTTTTCTGATTTGAGTCTAAATGAGCATAAATTAAACACTTGGTGTATAATTTAAAATAGTTGTCTAATTGATAAAACTATCTATAAATCATGTGTATATATTCAGAATAAGTATCTCGATGAGCAAAAATTTATAAGCCTATAATCACTCAATTGTGATTTTACTAAAGAACTTAATATTAAGAAAAAAATATATGATTGAGGGAATCAAAATGGTCATTCGATAAAATTTTTTGGGATTTTGGTAAACTATCAAAGTGCAACCCAAGTATAATAGATCACGATTCTCCATATAAAACCTTGAGTTATAATGAAATTGAGCTATAATGAGAAAGAGCTTGAAAGACTGAGAGGCTCCATAGCCCTATCCAATGGATCAACATCGACAATTTCCTCCCAACCACTATTAATCGACTTTCATCGCCCCATTTTGATTTCTTAACCATAATTTCCAGAATGACATCACCCAACTACTATCTCTTAGCCATCATCATCCTACTTTTATTGTCCAACTAATATGGCCTGACCTCCATCCTCAAAATATCATCATCTAACCACTATCTCTTAACTATCATTTTTTAACTTCAATCTCTTGATTTTTATTATCACCTTTTAATTCTCCTCTAATATTCTCTATTGTAATGATAGGAGATTAAGTTAGTGTTCTATGCTTTATAATCACATATTCTCCAATTGAGGAGTGCAGACTGTTGTAATCTCATTTGCAAAATGAATTACTTCAATTGGGTTAAAGCCTTGTAAATTTGAATTTTTTTTCATATTTTTTTATCTAGAACTTTGATATCTCTTACAGTCTTCTAATATTCATATGCACATGACAGATTTTTATACAAAATTAAGACATTAAACTCTCTCAACTACTATAAATATTTTAAAACATATTAGAAGTATGCAAAAATAATTTTAAAGAAAACCCATAAAAAAAACTCTAACAAAAAAAAAATGCAATCCATTGTTTTAGTGTAGGTAATTATTCCAAGAGAAAACTTAAGATACATGAAAAGTTTAGGTCACCCTCACCTTTACTTAAGATTTTATCTACTTTTTTTGTGAAGAACAATGATGGATTAAGTGTTCATTGAATGAAGCATCACATGATAAAAAAAAAAAAAAATGAAGCATCACATGAAGAATTATAATTTTAAAAAAAACGAGTAAAAAACACCATCATTTTAATACCCTAAGCCCCCAATTGAAATTTTTCCAATTAAAGGCCAGTTTCTAATATATTAAAAACAGCCCAAAAAAGCAAAAGTCAGGCCCAAAAAAGCCCATTTGTTGTGAGACCACCATAATGTTCCAAAGTCAGGCCCAATGATCATTATATTTGTAAAAACAAATTAGTACAAAATACCATTCTAATTGGCACATGTCATCAAATAAATCAAGAAAAAAATATTTAAAATGTAAAATTACATTATAAATGACACAATTTCATCAACTAATTTAAAATTGGAAACAAAAAAAAAATTGACAAATAATTTTTTATTTTATTTTTATTTCTTGATGACCTCATTCAATTTTACAAAATTAAGTTTGAATATATTGTAATCATCTTTCAAATATAACAAAATTATATAAATATATCATAATACGAAATATAATAAAATATAATTTAAAGCCCTTAAAGTCTTTATTAATTTTAAAATAAATTTAAAGGGTTTGGAGCTTACGTTGATATATTTTCTCTCATGCAATCAAACGCCCTTCACCTCTGTCTCTCTGTTGTCATCAAACAGAACGTATTACCTCTGTGGAGAGAACTTCAATACTTCAAGCAATACCACCGCCACCTCCGCCAATACCTCGGCGTCGCCGCCGCCCACCGAACCATCACCGAAGCCCTCTACATCTTAAGCATCGGCACCAACGACTTCCTCGAGAACTACTTCCTTCTCGTCACCGGCCGCTTCAGGCAGTTCACCGTCGGTCAGTACCAAGACTTCCTCGTTAGTCTCACCGCCAACTTCATCACCGAAATCTATCGCCTCGGTGCGAGGAAGGTTATGCTAACCGGTCTTAGCCCGATAGGCTGTCTTCCGCTGGAGAGAACCGCCAATTTGTTCGGTATGGGTGAGTGTAACGACGAGTATAATGAGGTGGCTTTGGAGCATAATGCGAAGGTGGAAGCCATGGTTGCTGAGATGAAAGCTGCTTTGCCTGGATTGTGGTTGAAGGTTGACCGCATTTATGACGTTATTCTTGGAATGATACAGAATCCTGCGCAGTATGGTAAGCTTACCTTTTTTTATTATTATTATTATATTTTTAAGTGCTAGCTAATAATTAATGCTTTATTCGGCTATTTATTAATATCAAATTTATGAGTAATTAAGAATTGCATCATTATTAGTAGGTGAAGTTGGGTGGGTTCTAAATGAATGAGATTTGGGTTTCGTTTGGGATGGCTTTCTTACTACTTTTTAAAATATTTTTTTAATATAAAAAATTTAATTTTTAAATTAGAAAATTGTTGTCCCAAATAAAATCTTAGGCTTTGTTTAGGACGGCTTTCTTATTGCTTCATAAGCAGCTTTTTAATACAAAAATTAAAAAGTCATCCCAAATGAACCCTTAAGCTTCCTTTGGGATAATTTTTTTACTATTTTCTAAAGTAATTTTTTACTATAAATTTGTGTACTATAAAGATGTTTTAGAAAACAGTAAGAAAGTTGTCACAAATAAAACATTAATTAAGGGAAAAAAATTATGATAATATATTTGAACGTAAAATATATCAGGACTAGCTTCAAATTTTGAACTTTGCATTGTGATTGATTAGTGTAATTCAAAATATTACATATAGCACTAATCTTAGCATAAATTTAAGAACTTTCAAACTCATCTTAATAAGTAAATAAGCTAAATAATAAGATAAATCAATTTTGACTATTGTTTGAAGACTTTTATATATTTTACAAGATACTTTCATAAACATAAAAAAATAATATATAAATTATTTTCTTATAAAATAAAAATATATTAATATTAAAAATTATCTTCACAATAATATTATTCATATTTCATATATAATTAATGATGATAATGATTATTTAATTAATATATTTATATTAGGATTTGAGAACGTTGGTGAAGGCTGTTGTGCCACTGGGAAGTTCGAGCTGGGATACTTGTGCAATCAGTACAATCTCCACACGTGTGCCAATGCTGACAAATACGTGTTTTGGGACTCTTTTCACCCAACCCAAAGGGTCAACCGTTTACTTGCAGATCACTCTCTCAGGATCACACTTAAAGATTTATTAGAATAGTATTTACTTTATAAAAAAAATATTGTTACAAATATATTATTAGTTATTACAAATATATCCCCAGTTGTCGACCGTTGTAAATTTGATAAGTTGGATGTATGCAACTAAATTATAAATTTTACAAGTTTTTCGAGGGGTTTCAATAATATAAATATATTATTGGTTAGTATATTGTCATTTTGAATAAATTTGTATTGCTTATCTTCTATTGAAGTATTTCTCTTCATTTATGAAAGAAGATTTTGTGGAACATTAATTGGTTCTTTTAATGTATGTTGCTCTTTTGATTGTTTAATAATTGCATTATATATTTAAATATTTATACAAATATTAGTTTGTTATTTTTTAAATATTATTTTAATTACACATACATTTTATTAAGAATATATTTGAACAAAGTTATGATAAGCATGCACACATAATTTTTATTAAAAATACTATCATTAATTTCAAAATTAAAATGAAAATTTAAATTTTATTTTTGTCAAAAAAAATTACATATCATTTCAAAAATAAATAAGAGATGCAAGTAATGTGAAAAAGAAAAGAAATTCTAAAATAAATATTAAAATTATAATCATATAATAATGTTGAAGATTAAAAAATTGGTGATTATGATGAAAAGAGATTATGGGCTATCTTTGAGGATGATGGCCTTGAGTAGATTGGTGTTATGAGTGGTCTCCAAGCTTACATAAATTTAAGTTATGGTTATATTTACTATTTAGATTTATATGTGAATTACATTGAGCTATACTAAGAAAATAGTGAAAAGAGAGTAGAAAAATACACAGAGAAAAGAATTCTAGAGTATCAGAAAATTAAATTGCTAAACTAAGCTCACTCTTCGGCCTCTTATTTATACATTTGAGTGTAACAGAATTTACTGTAGACATAATAATATAAAATAGTAAGAGAAAAATATAATAGTTGTGTAACATAATTAGAATCCCCGACTTGATGAAGAGGTCCGCCAAGCTCATATGAGTTGTTGGCTTGGCATGTATGGATGGATTAATAGTTGAATAGTTGATAAATAGTCTTTTATGTGAAGGAAGTCATTCACTTATATAGTTGTGCTAGGGCCTACATGATAAGTTGTATTCGCTTCAGCCAACTTGATAACATGTACACGACTTATTGGGACAAGTTCATAGATCGTAGTCGCATGCATGAAGAAAGTTCATTTGAAGACTATTGAGTTCATTTTAAGCCATGACTGAGCAGATTGAATCGGGCTTAGTTGGCTCGAATCCGGCCAACTTGGCTTGAACCCAATTTTTAGGATATTTTACTGTAAAGTTACAATTGTGATGATATAAAAATATTAATAAGAACCATCATAAAATATAAAGTTAAATATTTAAATATTGAAAGTAATCATAACAAAATTCAGTTAAGAAAATGTGGTTTTACAATAACAAAATAACATATTATATTTCAATCTAATAATACTAAGAAGTCAACTTGCTTGTAATATTGAGCAAATAAAGCATAAGATTGGAGAAGAGGGAAATAAAATAAAAATATAAGAAAAAAGTTTGATTAGACTAAAAACCTCAATTGATTTAGCCACTCCTCCCCTTTTCTACTCATCTATCTCTCTTCTACAAGTCTCTGGATCTCGTTTGTATGTAGTTTTGTTGCTTCTCTCCTCAACTCTTTATCATGACTTATTATGTTTTTTTTTTTTTTCCGCTCTTGATTGTCTTTGTTAGAGTTTATGACCCAATTTGTTGGGCTTGAGTCAAAAACTTCATTGTGTGGCATAAATATATAATTAGGGTTTTGTAGTTATGGTGTGTGAATTGTCGCTCTAATCTCATAATAATTTTTTGACATAAGGAAATATTCTCCTCTACCTGTGATTTTGTACCTATCCAGAATTTCATATGTAATTTTGTGTGATTCTTTATTTGTGTTTATATTACCTATTTTTCAATGTAATTGTGTCGCTCTTCTCGTATTTTCTTGTTATTTAGTGTACTTTTTTACTAGCGAGTTTTTCTTTCTTAGTCAAAAGTTCAAGATGAAAGAATTTCAAATAGCATATGCTTACTTGATTAACACTGCTCCCTAAATAGAAAAAGGAACACTAAAATGAAGATTAAACGTTTCATAAGGAAAATAAAGAATAAGAATATAAAGGGCTAGGATATTATTTTATATAAATTTAAACATTTGGGCTTACTCTTGATGTAATCATAAGCCTCTTTTTAAAAGTATTATATAATTTTTAGGGCATTATTTAAAATATGTTGAAGGATATTATGGAACACTATATAAATCCAAAGGAGCCCATCTGCCTTCAAAGAGTTTTTTTTTTTCTAGAATAGAAATTGATGAGCATTATCCAATATCTTGGAGTATTTTACCAAACGCTAAGAAAGCTATGATAGATTTGGGTCTTTTGACAAAGCAAATTGGAGTTTTAGATCTCCTTCTTAGTTTAGCTTTATAATAAAAATATAATGATAATAAAAGGTTAGCCAATGAGCTTGTAGTTCATTAAAAAATCATCTTAGATATAAATGTTCATTAAGAGTTCAAGAGAAATTATTAAAAATGAAAGACATTTAATCCTACATATAATGCAGCTACATTTTTTCTTTGGACACAAATGTGTTGCAAGATTTTGAAATACAAAATAGTTTTTTTATCTCTTATATTTTTTTATTAAATAACATTGTTTTATAACCATTTGTATTGGATTTCTGATATATTTATATTATGATTTTTTTATATAAATTGTGTACTTATTATTGTAACAATGGTAATATTTTTTGGAAATGCAAATTATTTATAAATCATTTGATTGTAATACTTGTTAATTAAGGGATAATGTAGTAGTTCAATATTTTTATTAAAAAGCTATCTGCTTACTTGTGTTTTTGGGTCAATAAACACTTAGATAGTATGTTAGAAGATCAAGTAGGTGAGACTCTATTGAATAATGAATGGTATATTTATTTATTTTATACCTAATATGTTCTCCAATTACTAATTTTAGAATTCATTAGAGATTTACACAACTTACTTATCACATGTTTATGCATTTTATTTTATTTTCCTTTTAGATATAATGGATTAAACTCATAATTACTTTTAAAGTTAAATTTAATCTATATTTTGGCCTTTATTCTTCTTTTACATAAAACTACTTCGAGCAAATATCAGTGGTCCATTTGTAGTGCAGGCATAAAGGCATGGTAAAATTTAATTGTACATCTTCAAATTATAAATAAAGGATTGATTTAACAAATCTTAATAAATACACATTATATTGCATGGCCTTGAGTTATAGCAACATGCAGATCTAGAATAAATACATTTTTACATTATATAGTAGACCTTCAAGTTCATGTAGGCTAGCATATCAAAGTGACAAGACTATTAGATCTGCACTTCCTTCATATCAATCAATCTATTCTACATAGAGAGTTCAACTTCATGGTGTGATGATTTTAAGATGATAGAAGGAATCCTCTACGCTGGATTTTTTCATACTATTAAACATTACCTTCCCACAAACAGGCATAGAGTGACAAATATCAATGGCCATTTTATCTATTAGGATAGTATGATCCAACACTTTCTTTCCTATGCAGAGAATGAGGCACTTTCAAATGCCATACTTTTTTGTAACTCTATTGGATAAATTTCTCTCTCCATTCTAAATTTTTATTCATGCTCTTGTTATTTGTACTTCTTTTTTATTTAATATTCCCTCCATCATGGAGAGCTTTATTTTTCTATCCATTTAGTTACCCATGCCCTTTTTATCCATTGGTCATAGTTAGGATTAGACTCTTTGTCTTCTTCTTTTAATGCTTCCTACTAAATCAAAGATTTTACAAGACTTCTTAAGTCGTAATGACCCTAGTGAGATTCACACTACCTCAATCATTTTTATTTGGCTTGCTAGGTGAAGAGACATAATAGTTCACTCAACCCAAAGGGTGATTTAGGAGTCTTTCATACCATACCTAAATCATTCTTAAGGTCCCATCCTCATTGAGACCAGGTTCTCCATTTAATGTGGTAACCCACACAGTCAAGTTAACAACTGCTCATTCAATTGGACTTCTAATGATTAGGCCTGCACTGACATTATGGTTGATCATTATATGTTCAATTTTTATAGTAAAGGGCCAGTGGAAGTGTCCATTCTAGTAGTTCTAAAGATATATCTAACCATCTTGGTTTCTCTATCTCATGTTGATACAAGTTCCTCTCATCCTTAAAGAAGAAAGGCTACATATAATAAGTTTTGTCTTCCCCATCCTCATGCTCTAATTTGTTTATTATTGTCATTTCATTACACATTTATCGAGACACCAATTAGAGTGTCCTCACGGCACCCAATTTACCCCCTGACATTATGGTTCCTCTAATATAATTGCCTTTCTAAATAGAAAGGATAGTGGAAACAAAACAAACTACTTAGGGTGGCATCACAAAGTTCATTGCAATTTCAATACTCTTAGTTCTAGTCCTTGTAGTTTTAACTTTTGTACAATCAACCACCTAGCCAAACTATTCTAATAATTTAGGATTGATGCTTCTCTACACTCATTGAGAGTGGTAATAAGGAGGATGTTTCCCATATATTGGCGACTCATTGCCCCAATCCTCCTTACTCCCACTAATTAACCGTTTTTAAAGCTATTGAAGCCCTCACCTATATGATTTGAAGTATCGTTCATTTAGTGCAAATGTGCTAACATGTCACAAAGTGTTAATTTATGTAGGAGATAGTGGTCTCCAAGTCCTACCTATTTTGGATGACATGGCATAAGTCTTTCCAATTGAAATCCATTCACCACCTTTTCCAGAAAACTCCCTTCGACATCCTGATAGATGTCCTCAATTGTGTTCTCAACATTACCCTCGAGGATCACCTTAACTAGCTCCCAAGCAACAACAATATGTAGACCCTCTCCATTTTTAGTTTGTGGGCTCCTTAAGTAGGTTTGTAGAGAAGCATTCATATGCACCAGCCAATTCTCATTAATATCAAGCAAATGTCATCTCTATTTGTCAATAGAGAGATATCCTTCAATGGAGGAAACATGGTGAACACGTCCTCGCAGTAGCCTAACATGTCAAATTAGCAGACCATATCCATAAACACGTAAAGGAAAAGTC